TAAGTCGAATAATGAACTGTGATTGGTCAATTTCTTCCGACACGACTTACGACATCCAATGTAGACCCAGCCTTACTGACTTTACTGACGTGCGAAAAACGCAGCACCAGTAATTTTCATTGCTACCAACTATACTGTTTTCACTGGCAGTAACTAAATCCATTTTCGAACACATCCTTAGTAAATTAAGCCCGCTGCAGACGATGCTATTTTTCCTGCTGGATTGCTTGCAATTTAGTAAATTACTATCATTGCACCAATCAGCATTCAGGATTCCTAGTAATTTACTAAATTGCAAGCAATCCAGCAGGAAAAATAGCATCGTCTGCAGCGGGCTTTACTATCATTGCACCACTCAGCATTCAGGATTCCTAGTAATTTACTAAATTGCAAGCAATCCAGCAGGAAAAATAGCATCGTCTGCAGCGGGCTTTAGCGTGAAGTTACCTCCCAGAGGTAAGTTCCCAGAGGTGGATTATAGCATACCAACTTTTCGACACTAAATATTTTATTTTTCACAGTTGGTAGCCCTGGGAAACTGTAACCACAAAAGAGACGGAGAGCGCATGCGCACGACGCTTCCATGTAATAGCACCTTTATGTTCGCACGTGGATACCGCGTCCCGCCTGAGCTTAGCTCCTTTGGAATATTTTTAATTTAAACGAAGTGAATATGTTGTTTGGGCTCGATTAACGTACGTCGAGGTAATTTATCAACATGAAGAACAAGCCGATCCGCCACAAGGAGACTAACGTCTTCCGGGTGAGTAGAGTCGACGGGGAAACGCGAGGTTAACCTAATCGCGCGCGTGGCTCTGAAACCCGGTTTCTTTCCTCCGCAGTTCAAACCGTTCTCCGAGAGAGTGACGGAGATCGACGTCGACATCTTCCACCGTCTGGCACATCGGAACGAGAACGTCGCTGAGGACGACGTCGTAACCCACTTTCACGAGACGCTGAAGAAATGGAACGTTCTCAACCTGACGGAAGGTTACACCGCCTTCAAGAGACAAGTGCGGGACATCGTCACGTTGCCCCAATTGCTGCACAAGAAGCAGCACGTCATCGACACGCTTATGCTGTATCTGAGGAAACGGGATCCCTTGTTCCTGCAGCCGATCCTGGAGTAAGCATGCACCACGTGGCGTATAGAGAAATATGTGTCCGAGAAGTCAAACTAACATTTAGCAAATTTTGAGGGGTAAACCACTCTCGGCATTGTGGTGTACAGATTTCGGGCATTACTACGCATTGCTAGGCATTTTTTTGGGGTGTTATTAAACCTTGCTGGGACATTATAAAGAATCTAAAAATATAAACATCAGTGATTTTTATTGACCATATCTGGCAATTAAAATTCTTATTGCAAAAAATATTACCTCTTGTGATAATACTATTCGCAATAACATGTATATTACGTAAGATGTTTACGCGTCTATTTCGACTTTTCAGAACTGTGCGCCGATAAGGGTTGTCGACCGTATACTGAGCTGTCGATACGCGATTTTTTAATTTCCCTGTCCCCTCCCTCCCCCCGATCCCATTCCCCCTATTGCGGAGGAACACCATGTTAGAGGTCATTGGTGTATAATCAACTAGTAAGAATATTCTTAAAAGTCGCCAGAAGTAATTAATAACATCAGTGATTTTTATCGACTGTATCT